AGAGAGAAAGTGATGTGATGAAAATTTTTTTTTTGTTGGAATATGGTGTGGAAGTGTTTTTTTTGTTGAAGGGATTTAGGTGGTTTGGTGAGTGGAAGTGAGGAAAAAAAGAAAGATTATGGGTTTAGGGTTTTTTGTAGGTTTTAAGGAAAGAGAGGTTGGAGAGGAAGAAGAAGATGAAGGAGAGGAGACGAAGGGAGTAGGAGGAAGAAAAGTAGAAGAAAAATGGTGGGAAACTTGGTGGATGAAGAAAGAAAAAAGAAAATGGTGAGAGAAGGAAAGAAGAAGAGAGGAAGAAGAAGAAGAAGATGGAGAAGAATGAATGGGGAAGGAAGAAGAAAAGAGGAAAGAAAGAAGAAGAAGAAGAAGAAGAAAGAGAGGAAGAGGAGGAGAAATTCCTGGAGAAGCCTTGAAGGAAGGAGGGCAAAATTATTGGGTCAGGTGACCGAAGCATTCTCTCCGTTCGGTCGCCAATAGAAATGTCGCCCATCTGTTAGGCGTTTTTTAATTTAATATTAACGCCTTTATGTCTGTCAGAGTTAGCGACCCGACTCGATAACGCTATTTCATTTGAACTTTTAAGCATTTGCGCCTATGTCAATTTTTCATTTTGATACCCGCGAAAACCGTAAATATCTACTGCTGGTAGAAGAAAAAAATGAGCCAGAAAATTGCAAGAGAAGAAAATGGAACTGCTCAGCGAAGATGGAGGGTGGAAGAGGGGAGTGCATGAATCGGAAAGGGATGCATGAAATCGGAAGGGCCTGTGTGCATGAATCGGAATCGGAACCTAACCTTAGCCGGAAATCTCCTCTGGTTTCAACATATCGATAAGTTTTCTTGGAAAACGAGTTAGAAAGTTGTAAACAAGTCAGTTTTAATATCATCGCCGCAGAAAGAAGACGTAGGTTTCAGCTCATTAGTCTTAGGATTTTTGATTTTGCGATTTTTAGCGAATAAAATTTCTTTTGTCAAAAAAGTAAAAAAAAAATCTAATGTTGTTGTTGCTTATCTGTAGCCTTTCATTATTGTTTTTAGGATGAAAGATGATAAATAAAAAAAACTGAACTTGCGTATGATATCTAGTTTGCGCTATATGTTGCGCTTTACTTGCCCCTTTACTTGCGCTTTAACTTGCGCTTTCAGACTGGGGTATACAAGAATGAGAATGAGAAAGCATATGAAATGGTTTTTTGCACTTATGCTCAACGATAAATGGGCTTTAGTGTCGCGAAAGGATCATCACAGTTTTTGGCCAAATTCTAGAAGATAAATCGAAGGACTTTGTTTTGTTCAAGAAGCTGGTTTCAAGAAGGTGTGATATCATAATCCAGGAAAAAGAGAAAAGAGATTCACTAGACAGTGTCAAAGAACTGGTTGTCCCCCATGGGAGGTTGTCACTGATGAAGAATGGTTACTGGCATATCAAAAGATTTATGAAATCCCACAACCATGAATTAGGCTAAGCTCCAGCCGGACCAAGATCACCTTTGAAGATCAGTGTAGAATGTTATTGAAGGAAAAAGCTTCCGCCTAAAAAATCGATGATAAATCAGGGAATTAGAAACCGTTGAATGCATGAGGCCACGTACCGCTTGCAGAGAAAAGTTTGGGGGGTTTGGGGAAATGTTGAAAAAGAAAAAATTTGGGGGTCGAGATTCTCTAAGAGGGATGCCTAATAATTTGATTCAGAAGGAGCATGTGTCAAGTGGATTTGAAATGGTAGACACTAATTCTTTGATTCAATTATTTAAAGAATCGCAAGTTGAGAGACCACATGGTTCGCAGGGATGCGTTCAATATGATGATCAGGATAGATTGTTAATTTTTTTCTGGTTGATGGCAGAAAGCAGGGATAGATTATGAATGTTTTGGAGATGTGTTGATTTTTGAATACTTAGTTACAGGGCTTGAACAAGTAATAATTTTGTTTGTGCGCCATTTGTTTGGTGTTACAATACATTGGCAAGAGATATTTTTTTTGGTGCTTGCTTTTTTTTGTCAGAAAGAAATGAACAATTGAACAGTTTTTTACAATGGTTGTTTTAAAGGTATTTGTGACGGAATAATGGGTAATAAATATCCAACAACAATATATCACTGATCAGGACCAAAGCTATGGCCAGGGCCATAGAAGTTGCATTACCATCACACTCGTCATAGATTAGTGCCAATAGGGCACATATGTTTAAAAAGGTTCCATCAAAAAATTTCCATCTAACAATAGCAATAATAAGTTAGAGGAACTCTTCATAAAGTGTAGTGAGGTGGTGTGTATTCTGAGGAAGTGTTTGAGGGAAGCGGGTGAAATGATCAATGGAAGGGAAATGCTTTCATAATCATAGAATGGGTTGGCATGGAATCTTTAATAAGATAAGGAGAAAGTGGTCAACTGCTTTCCAACAAGATTCCTTTGTTTGGCAGTGGGCATTTTATCAACGCAGCGTAGTAAGTGATAACTAATATGTGTGTCTATAGCATTGTCAAAGCCAACAAAGTTCATTAACTGAGTTGTTTTTCTTGGCTTGAAAAAAAGGTTTCTAATGAAATTGCGGCGAATGAGCAGGATGAGGATGTACAAATGGCAGTCAATCTGAAAATTGTTCCAAGTAAATAAGAACAGCTCATTATTAAAAACAAGCCTGGCTAGATTTTACCTCAACGAAGAATATATTCAAGTTTTTTGAAGGAAGGAAATTTAATAAAGGCTAGAATATTATGGAGAATATGAGTATATCTATGAGTGTTTGTGCTCGACTGATTCTTCAAATTGTATTTGTCAACTACATAGGAAAAAAGAATCAAAACCATCTCTTGGGATTGTTCCACTTGATGCAACAGAGCAGGTAAATTCAATCGAGTTGTAAGGAAGTATGAAAACATGGGATTGCTGTGTTCTCAAATTGTTTGGGGTTTTTAAACAGTTGGATATGGCACGAATTCCCGAGGAGTACTGTATGTACTATTCGATTGGTCAGCAGGGCTCGACAAGTTTTTTTACATTCAGGTTACTTGCTTTTAATTTCTCAAAGAATGTAATAATTTCCCAAAGTGGTAGGGGATTCATATTCAGAAATCAGGTGAAGAATGTCGCTTGATAAATAAAATATGCGGCGTTTCCATTCTTTCTTTTCCGGAATTCTTCAAAATGAATAGCGTTATCCTGGGTCGGGTCGCTAACTCTGAACAAGACATAAAGCGTTAATTATTAAATTAAAAAAAAATGCGCTCTACAGATGGCACATTTCTATTTGCGCGACCGAACGGAGAGATGAATTCAAGTCACCTAACCTCAATAACTTTGCCGGAGGGAGGTCGGCGGCGTTCCTTGGCGTGAAGATGTCGTGATGGAGAGGGGGCAATCGGTGGATTTGGCGGGTTAGAGAAGTGAGGGAGGGTTATGAAGTGTTAAGTGGGGGGTAAGTTTAGGTATTTTTCATGTATTTTTTATTTAAAAGCAAAAATTCATTTTCTTATTTAATAAGCTCCATCTTATCTCCCTCTTTTTAAAATTTTTAATTTTAATTAGCACAAAAATAAAAAAGTAATATTTTTTAATTCTTGCAATCAAGTTTTGGTCATCGCATCGCCAACTCCTCGCTCCACGTCATCCATCGTCTCGATTCGCGCGCCCAAAAATTAAAATTTTCGCCGACCGTCGACCCCCACCAATATGGGTGTCAATCTAAGCTGTTTCCGTTTCTCCGGATGCATTGGCGCTGTCCGTTTGGCGAACGGAGGTCGTTTCGGCAATTTTAGGTTTTGGGTCAACACACGTCGGGTGAATTATACCCGATTTCGTGCTATTTTGCTTTCGAAATTCACCTTGCGCGGTCGACTCGATCCCGACACTAGTATTGGGGTCAACAATAGCAAAGAAGTAACAAACCTACTATTACTACTGGATGGCGATTGGTGGACACAATCTCTCGCTTGAACAAATCTCAATAAAGTAAGTCGAATTTGAAAGTACGTGAATCAAGGAGGAAGATTACCTTCCCGGAGGGACATTGTGCAAAACCACGTACCAATCTTTGATCCTCTTCGACAAGCACTACGGGAAGAAGAAATCTCTAGGGATTCGCCAAGGGTTGAGATCAAACCGACGACATAAAGTGGAGAAGATTCATGATGCCTTGGCCGTTGGTTGTGAGATCGGAATCATACTTTGAGTAGACCATGAATCACCATCGGGTATAGAGAGAATGCTGAAAGAAAGAGAGGGAGGAAGGTGGCGGTGGGGAAGGTGGAGGCTAGGGTTAGGCAATGGCTAGATGGGATGAAGAAATAACATTATATTTCCATAACAAAAATTATTCTCAGATTTTAAGTGAAAGTGGAGGGAAAAATCTGAGATTTGAAAATTTAAAACCATGGAATTAAGAGCTTTAATGGAGCATTAAAGGAGGGGGAGCCATGTGGGTGGCCGGCGGCATGTTGAGAGGGAAAGGGAGTGGGTTATGTGGAGAAAACAAAACTCTTTCCTATTTGGCTCCTTTAATCTAGGAAAAGAAAAACTCGACCCAAATCAAATTTGAATTATGTCATGAAAGAGGTTTAATACTTTCCTAAAATAGCTCTCCAATTTAGGAAACTTTTGAAATTCAAATTTTGAATTTCAAATGAAGAAAATAATTTCCCAAATAACTTGAACTCTTTAGGCGAGCATCAAGGTGACATCAATTCCTCATCCATGGAGGCAACCATGGTGACCGGCGGTGAGCATGGATTGGGATGTGGGTAGAAAACAAATTTAATGGAGAAGATGGCTTGGATTGGTGGGTAGGTTGAAGTGAATTTTGGTGGTAGGGGTTATAGGATGGTAGGCGGTGGTGGGAGGGGCCGGCGGTGGAAATGGAGGATAAGGGAGGAAGGTAGAAGGGAAAACCAAGAGCCACCGGCGGTGACTGTTGGGTACGACGGGTGGCCTCTCCTAGGCTCCACCTAGCTCTCAACCTCTCTCTCAAGCTCTCACAAAAAGAAAGCTTCAAGAAGACCAATGCAGGAAAAATTTGTAATATCATTCATTAACCATCAAAAGTACAAGATGAAGGCTATAAATAGCCTAATACAATGACATAAAATAAAAGACTAAAATACCTTCGAGGGGCTACAAGACTCAATCCCTCAAACAAGGGTAAGAAGGGAAAATGCAGAAATAAAATACATCAAAATAAAATGACCATACTAAAATCAGAAATACATCGGGCAGATCGTTGCCGTAGATCTACGGCCACGTCGACGGTAGACTTTCCAACTGATGTCCCCATCAACTTAGTTAGCCAGGCCTTGGTCACACACCAATACATCAGCACAAAGTAGTGAAAGAGGTTACATGAAATGATCCACATTAAATGCATTATAATTGCTAATAAATATAATAATAATAATAATAATAATAATAATAATTGCTAATAAATATTAAAGAAATGTATAAACTAATTATGATTAGCAATCAACAACTTGGGCCTTATCTTGACTCCTTCAAGAACTATGCCACCTTTCCACCACTCAGTCTTCACCTCCTTCATCCCAAACTCAATCTTCCCCATCAAATTTGAAGAAGCTAAGCTGAACTCACCTCCGTATATCTCATTCCAGTTTTTGTTCTCCTTTGTATAATACTCCAAATATCTTTCATTTCTGCTCTTCTTCCCTTCTGGGGTTGATACTTCAAATGTGATTGGAGAAGAACGCCAACCAAATGCATCAGCATTGAACTTTATAACGTAAAATATTTCATAAGTCTTCAGTGGATCGAGCTGAAATTTCTCCAAGTTTAAAGATCCAGTTACCTCCATCCAGTTCACTTGAATGAGCTCTGCTCCTATTTCAAAGCTGTGATGATCGAAAAGTTTGACTTAAATCCACTCCAAGAATAATTTTTTTGTTAGTTAGATTTACTAAGGATTCATATGAAACGACTTTTTTACTGCTTCTTAAAGAAGTTTTCGAGTACAAAAATTTTAACTTTTGTACTAAAAAGTATTTTAAGAAGCGGTAAGAAGGCCATCCCAAACGAAGCCTAAATCATTGATTGGAAATTAATTTGAACAACATATATTTGATGCAGAATTGAAATATACCAAGATTCGTCTTTTGATAGCTTTATCCATTCCCAAAAACGGGGATCATTGCCCCATACAATTCTCAAAGCTTTTGCTGATATGTGATAAACACCGTTCTCATTTTTGAAGTATTCATACTGCATTTATATATAGTGGAAAAAAATTATCATTAAGCAGATATACAGTATTATCTATTGGAGTTGCATTTGTTGTAGTATAACGAAGAATGATCAAAAGTTCTATTCTATAGAAACTCTATTAAGAATCTAGTCTTCCTTATGTTAAGGAGGAACTATAACATATTTTAAATATCATCAATAACTTGTCTTTTGCTTTGTTAGGATATTGGTCCAGATTTTAGTTAGTTTTTTTTTTGTATTTTCTTTAGGTTCTTATATAGCTTTGTATTATCTTTAGTGTGCAGCTTTGTGTAGCCATTTGGAGTCTATAAATAGGTGCTATTGTTTGTAATAGGGGCTAAGCCAATCAATAAAGATTTCTGTTCAGTTTTTGCTCTCTCTCCCATTCTTCCCTCCCCTTCTCTCTTTCTCTTCCAAGAAGCCCATGCTTCCTCCCAAGCTGCACACCAAAGGCAATACAAAGCTATATAAGAACTTAAAGAAAGTACAACGAAAAATTTCCTAAAATCTGGACCAATATCCTAACATGCTTCATGCTATTCCATAGTTTATTCACTAGAAAATTAAAATTATTTTCTTCTTCAATTAAAGACACTCAATGAAAATATTGGATGAAACTCTATTCCCAAATGCATAAAGATAGGAAAATAAGTATATCAGAATACTCTAATTTTAATTGTAGTTAGAATAGATCTCAAAGTCTTTAGATCTATTTTAAAAATCATGATATTCTAATTGAAATTGAAGTCAGAATACATCTCAAAATCTTTAGATTTATTTTAACATTAATTCAATATGTGGATAATTAATATTAGTCAAAGCAAATCTAAGAACTTTGAGATCCATACAGACCATTTTTTTTTTGGCCAGGATATGTATATACATTATTATTATTTTTTTGTCTTAAAAGATTTATATAGTAACCCTAAGAATATAAAATAGAGAGTATAGAGAGCTATCTTACATTGTGTTCACCAGTCCAATGAGGGCCATGAATTTCCCCCGAAGTCATGGCTGCTGCTTGGTTCCTATTGCCTTAACTTTTCTCTTCTATGCTAATATATATAGATCGACTCGTGTTTCTTTAATTATTGCTCATGAATGAGCTCCTTTATATAAGAACTAAGAAGAGAACAAAACGAGCTAGAGATTCTCCATATAACCAAAGCAAGCAACCTTGATCGCACGTACAAAATTCTCACCTATCCCTTGAAAAAAGAAGAATTTGCTTTTGTCAAAAAGGAAAGTGAATGGAATACTAGACCAGTACAATTTGTTATATTATCCTGAGAAGTTTGTAATGATTTGTACTTTCTATATAGAAAATCATCTTGTGCCGAAGGTCACATATGTTATCCAAAATAATATTACTTTGAAAGCCGAAAGAACAACTCGTTATGAAATAGAACAAAAATTAGGTGCACTTTCTTATCAGCAACATGTAAAATAATGTTGAAGTTAGCTATAATGGCATATGAACAAACAATTTCTCACCATTTAGCTCATTCATATTCGATGATAGATTTGATGACAATATTGCCATCATATCATAATAATATTGTCAATGCCATATTCCACACTCACAAACTGATTTTCATTATAAACTTCCTTAGCAACTTTGACGATACAGAGTTAGGGAAACATAGAAACACTTTTTTTTTTTTTTAACACTTGAATGTTGAGACAACAACAACAACATCGAGCCTTTATCGCACTACATGGGGTTGACTTGATGAATCATTTTTCTCCATTGTATCATGTTAAAAAATTTTCGTTTAAATATAATAAAGAAAAATTATTTCTAATATTTATAATCAAGTCTTTTTAGGTTTACCTCTATGTTTTTTAACATAGGCCAAATCTAATGCATATACTCTCCTAACAGGGTCATCAAAAGGCCGCCATTTTATATGACCAAACCATCTAAGGCGACTCTAGATCTCTAATCTTATCTTTCACTAGAACTACTCCAACCTTTTCATGGATATGCTTGTTTCATATCCTATCTCTAAGAGTAAATCCACTCATCCACCTAAGCATCCTCATCTCAGCAACACTTAACTTAATATTATGCTTCTCTTTTAATGACCAACATTCTGCTCCATAAAACATAGAATGTTGAGAAAAATAAAAAAAAATATATTAATAAACTTACAAGAAGATTTCATGAAACATAAAAGTTTTATGTGATTTAGAGATAATTCCTCGTAGATCTACGATTGTTTAGATTTTTCTATATTTACCAAGTTCATAATTGTAGGAGATAGACACCATTTAACTACGAGATCAGGACTCATAAAAATAAAAATGATCAATTTTATCTATGAAATATTTCACAGAACATACTCCTAAAATATTTCTAAAAATCAGAATATTATTTGGGTTTTTGAAAGCATTAAAAAAGAAAAGAATCAAAAGTAGGACAAATTTAGTCAGCGACAAAAATAGAAAATGATATCAAATGGCCACTTAATGTTCTTTATTTCTCATTTTCTTTTCATTGTGGAGCATCTCTTCGTTGGAAAAGAGATGGCTGGGCTAACCTTCCTTTGCTTTTTGGAAGGCATCCTTTATTCCTTCAGGTCTTGCTGGTGTAGGACAAAGCAAAGTTAAATGCATATAATGGGAAAGGAAGAGTTGATGGCAATGTTAGTCACCGACATGTAATTTCTTATTTAGTTTTCCTTTTGAATTATGTATATTGAAGTATGCTGATTGTTGCGAGTACGAAAAGTTTTATGAACCCATAGAATAAAATATCTTTCACTGTGGTTTAGAGATTTTCTTATTGTAGCAAGTAACAATTATCATCAGAAGGAAGAAATTATCTTGAACTATTGTTATTATTAAGAAAAGCACGCTAATTGAGCAAAAAAGAAGCCTTATTTGTAGACTACATGTGGGTTTCTAATACTTATTTGGGATATTCTTATTAGTTATAATAAACCAACAATTATAATTATTCATGCGCCAGATAATCGTAAATAAGAGAATAATAAGCATAGGAAGTAATTATTATCATATAAAATATAAAAAATAATTTTATTACCACTACAGGAAAATCACGTATTACCTGATAATTTTCTGGCAGAAAATTGTTAAGTCTCCGGCGGATTTAAAAGATTTCTGGCGAAAAGTTTTTCGCTGGTAAAAAAAGCGTTGGGAAAACTTTCCATCAAAAAAAAAAACCTCCTTGATGTTATGATTATTTGAACTCATGTTGAGCACAGCTTGATGTTAAACATGCAATAATCAATGTAGTGTTTTATTGGATATTATAATCTTCCTTGCTTATAACAATGTGATCATCCTCAACATTATCCAAAATAGGAAAGAAAACTTTTGCTTCATGTATAGTTTTTTTTTTTTTTTATAAGGTGGCTTCTCTTTTTTATTTGTACTTTCACTAGCTTTTATATATAATATTATCCTATTCCTCAATTCCTTGATATAATTAGACATAATTCTCTCAACTTCTTCTGTGTAGGTCAAGTCAAGCTGCATTACTATCTTACTATGTAAAATTTGTTTTTCTTATAAAAAAATTTGCTTTCTTAGTAAATAGATATGGAATACATCATCCATACTACTTATTTCAATAAGTAATCTTGAATGCCTCTCCACAAATCACTTTCTTGAATCACTCCAGTCCCCAAATCACCAGAGTTACTAAGTTCACTCTAGTCCCCAAATCACTTTCTTGAATGCCTCTCCACGAGCTTGGCATTAACTTGCCATCTCTATCTAAAATTCTCACATGAGGGATACCCAACAACCTTATTATATTATTCACATACAATAAGGCTAACTTTGTCATCAAATCAGTCAACTAAATGGGCAAAAACTAAGCTGACTTTATCAATCTATCTACAATCACCCATATGAGTATATGGCATAAAATTCATCGTTAGCTCCTCTTAACATTTTTTATTGTAAACAAGGACGGAAGTACTCCACTCAACTTCTAATAGCTATCGCATGAGTGTAGTAATCATTAAAGAAGAAATTCAGATAGTCGATATGTTTGGTTTGAAGTATAATTGGTTATAGTTATCACCAATGACTCTCTTTTTATGGTTATCCTGTTAACCTCCTCGTTGATGGCGATTACAGTTCTTAGCTCTGTTTGGTTTTAGGATAGAAATCAAAATAGGAAAATGTCTAAAATAGTCCTACGACTATCCACATATGACCAATATAATCCTAGAGCACATTTCTCCAATTTAGTCTGTTGGCTATATAAAAGTTATCCCAAATAATTCCACTGGGATTAACTATATATAGTTGAGAAACTAAAATTGGATCAATTTTATATCTCAATTTCCATCAATTTATACTTGAGGGATTATTTGGGATTAATTTTGTATAGTCGAGTGACTAAGGCTTTGTTTGGGGCAGCTTTTTTTTTGCTTTCTAAAACGGCTTTCTAGTACAAACAATTCTTGAATTAGAAAATTTTATACTAGAAAGTCATTTTAGGAAGCAGTACGAAAGTTGTCCCAAACGAAACCTAAATTAGATAAATATGATACTCCAAACTACATATGAATAATCAGCGATTAGATTTTTTTCTCAAATGGAAATATTAAATGAATTCAATTAAAATTAGTTCAAAGCCACATATTTTGTAAACTTCAAATTTAAGGAAATTAGTTCAAGTGCATAATATTTTACATAACAATATTGGACTTTTCTCAATTTAGAAGAAAAATGTTAAACATTAAAATCATTTTGTTATTATATTAATATCATCGTATTTGTTTAATATTTATTAAGAATTTATAGTGTTGATCTACATTATAGAGGATATTGGTCCTTTATGATATTTTCTTTATAGCTATATTCTCTTGCTTATATATATATATATAAAAATCAACATAGACATGTTTGTTTGGTTGGAAGAGCCATTGTAGGTGATGGAGGTCTGAAGGACCGTAATCTGCAGGAGACCTGGGGTCTGGACGACCGTTGTCTGGCGATGTAGGTCGGAAGGACCGTAGTCTGCAGGCGACGTAAGTCAGGAGGACCGTAGTCGGTGGGCGACGGAGATCGGAAGGGCTGTTGTCGGTGGGCGACGTATGTCAGAAGGATTGTAGTCAGCGGGCGACATAAGTTAGGAGGATCGTAGTCGGCTAGCGACGGATGTCAGAAGGACCGTTGTTTTGCGACGGAGGTTGGAAGGACTGTGTTTGACGATGAAGGTCAGAAGAACGGCGTCAGGTAGAAGTCCAACAATAGAAAGAAATCCATCTTCGGATATACGTCCAGCGAAAATCCGATAACCGGTAGAAGTCCGGCATCACGTAGAAACTTGGCGAAGAGTGAAGGTCCGACGTCGGGTAGAAGTCCGACGTCTGTTGGTGGCCGAGGAGAATTCCGGAATCACTTGGGCGAAGTCTCGGTGTCAGGAGGGAACTCTGTCATTAATTGGAAAGAATTTCAGCATCCCGTGAAAGTTGGGCAGAATTCCGACGTTTCCCGAATATCCGGTAGAATTCTGGCGTATTCAGGCGGCGGGAAGAACTCCGGCGGTAGCCGAGGAGGAGTTGATTCTCCCCCCTCTTCTCTTCTTCTTTTCTTCTTCTCTCTCTTGCTTCTTCTTGCTTCGGTCCCCCTTTGTGAAGAATGAGGGCTCTATTTATAGTTTTTCTGGAGTGGCATAGCTCGTAAATAGGTGTGAGATCATGGTCAAATAGGGAGTGGTCGAATGGACGGTTGATGTTGAATCCTTTGATCGTGCACCGTTCGTTGGACATTTGAAGGTCTTAGTGATGTCGGAATTCGGCGATCTTGGGCTCGTTGGATTCGTCTCGTCGAGCCGCTTGATTCGAGTATAAGCTCGTTAAAATCGGAGACCGTTTGGTAACTCAAATTGTGGTATGAGCTTTCCAACAGCACTTCGGGCGCTTGATTTGGGCTCACTTGGACTCGAATTGAGTTGAATTTGGTGTCGTTGGGTTCGTATTTCTGAGACGCTCAGTTTGACTATAAGCTCGCTGAAATTGGAGTTCAGGTGCTTCCGAATTTAATTTTTGAAGTTTCCAACTTGATTTTTGCGCCGAGATTCGTGCCCGATCAAGATAATTTCTTGATGACGTATCAGTACTATTAATCAGATTAATGAAATAAAAATGTAAACTTTTATGATATTTGTAAAAAAAAATTACATGTGCACATCAAAACAAACTAAATATATATTTCATTATAAACCCTGATCTTCATATAGAAATGCATCATCCATCACATACAAGTGAACCAAGATCCCTTCCTACAACATCACTATCTCTTCAAAACATTATTCCACAACAGATCAGTATATATCAATTAATATTATCAACACAACACAGATGACCAGTCCTTATTAAAAAAAAAAAAAAGTTGAAAACTACAAAAGAACATTGAGAGGAGAATCCCTTTATTTAAATTAACATCAATAAAATTTAAACATAAAGAAGGGGTGCAATGATCACTTCATGAATGACAAGTCCTCCCTTCCACCTTCCCTTCCAGATCTCATACATTCCAAACATGAGCTTTTCTTCAGAGCTGCAACTCTCAGGTACTCTGAAAGTAAGATTCTGATTGATTGGAACGTCGAAAACTTGGCCATAGCTCTTTAATTTCAAATAAGCTTTCTTCCATAAGCGCGTCTGTTCTCCTACTTTAACCATAAAATAGACAGGACAATTTCCCCAGCCAAAGTTATCTGGCCTTAACTCCACACGGAACTTCACCATGTACTCTTTTCCTTTCTTTAAGAACCTACTGAGATTAATTTTCCCCGTAACTTCCAGCCAGCTGACTTGCAAAAGTTCAGCAGGGCCTCTGCACATTTTGTTATAAACATTTAAAAAATAACAAAATGGTTATGTAAGAGGGAGAGCATTAGGAAGATGATGAATACTTACTCTCCTGCAGACAAATTCCAGTATCTTGGATCTCCACCCCAAATGATTTCAAGCGCCCGAGGTTTTATTCTCCATGTATCATTTTCCTAATCATGCAAACATGGAGATGTCAAAAAATGTTTGTTTAAGCTTCTTGCTTATGAAGAAACTGAACTCTCCCATTTGTGTCTTTTAGATCTCATTTGACTGTCTTGCAACATGATGATTTTCATACTTAAAATGAGTAAAAGTATTAATCTGCATCTTATCATCAAGCACAGACACTACAGGAAAATCGTCCATTACTAGCAGAATTTCCGACGGATTTCTGGCGGATTATTTAGAAATATTTCCGACAAAGTTTCAAGCAGATTTTCCGGCGGATATGTTTCTGATGGATTTTCTGACAGTCTAAAAATCTCTGAAAAATATAATTTATTCGTAATTTACTGTCGAAGATGCTTTCGTCGGAAATCTGCTGGAAAATTTTGAAATATGCCGTCATAATTTTCCGCCAGGAATACACGACTTTCCTATAATGAGATACAAAATAAACAAACTAAAATCATACAAACAATCTGATAAACTGAGCATAAACTGATTATGATTTACATAAATGTAGCATTTTCAATCAAATTACTATTCATCTATCGTTGATTCATGAAGGCCTCTAGTTTTTATTACCCTGTCATATTTGACCAAGTGGAAGATATCTTCTCCCTTGTGGTGAGAGTGACGGCTTGTCATAGCTACCACCTGTTGTGTCTTGCAAGACGAAAGCCGTAGTAGAATGGAGAAGTGATCTGCTGAGAGTTATGGCTATGGAGGATGCTTCATCTCTTCTACCTTTATAGTGTTTGAAGGGAGAAGGGAATACAAAAGTGAAAAGTTTGGAGAATTGTAGGGAATATATCTGTAAAGGAGATCTTAATCTTTCTAAATTGTATTCCTGAACAGTATTAGGAATATTTTTGTATATTATAGTAATAATAATAATTATTATTATTGCTATTGACAATGATGAGCAGTAACTTGCAAAATGTAGCTAGAAATTAAAGTTTTGGTTGTGACATTTTTTTTACTGTTTTCTAAAGCAACTTTCTGGCACAAAATTTTTTTTGAAAGCAGTGGCCAAAAGTTATCCTGAACCACACCGAAGTCAATGAAAAAAAAAAATTATGTAATCACTAGACCAGGGCGGAACCAGCCCTAATTTTTCTGGGGGGGACTTATAAGGCATATAAGTCGGGGGTCCAAGGGGGCAGTGCTCCCGGAACATATTTTGGTTTGAATGGTATTTTTGGAATTCAATAATGAATTCTCTTTACTATTTGTTGGGGGCAATTACCTAAAGATCATAATAATTTAAAATGTTTAGGGGGGGGATTGCCTAAAAACCTTTATAATAAAGACTAAAAAATAAATAAAGCTAGATAAATTATCTAAAAAATCATATTAACATTTTTTTAAAAAAATTTTTGAGGGGGCCAATTGCCCCCCTGATCCCAGTGGGGTTCCGCCCTTGCACTAGACTGAATCCATTGAAGAGTTGTGAGAATCTATTCTTGTTCAAAGAGGTCGGTTGAGGTGGCATCAACTTATCTCATTATAAGCATCTTGACTTTCTGTTAAAATATATTCTTTTCTCATTGAATTAGTTTCATATTTTTTCCTTTGTTAAAGCTTTAGCTTATTTTCTTCCATGTTAGGTTAACAAATGAAGCACAATATCCCTCATTGCCAACTCATAAGAAGAATGAAGATGCTTCTACAATGTAGACCCTCAAAGTTTTTTTCCTCTTTTTTTCTTGCTATAGAAGTTCTATTTGAAGACATTTATTAGTTGCAATGCTATAGCCAGGCTTCATTTGAAACGATTTTCTTAATGATTCTTAAAACAATTTTTTAGTACTAAATTAAAATTTAAAAAACAGTAAAAAGTCGCTCCAAATGAGCCTTGGCTCCTATTGTAGAAGAGAGGGTTCAATGTACTAACGGTTAATTTCTAATGATTGTAATTAATTCTAAAAATATAATCAACTCTAATAATGAACCTAATCATCTTTAGCTTGAATAGCATTATAAGATGATTACATTTTGCTAAAATTTATAGTAAAATAAATAGTTTTTTTGTTAATTTTCCTATCACTTGCTTATTTATATGCATTAGTTTTTATAAGCTTTATATTTGAAATATTTCAATTTTTATTTAATCAATTTTATAAAAATAAAAATCTCAACAATTACAAAACCAAATTAAATTAATCAAATAAAATTAATTCAGTTTGATTTTTTTTTTAATCTCAAGTAATACAGACCATAAGTGAGAAATGTAATTTCGAACATTTTAAAAAATTCTAACATTATATAAATAACTCTCAGACACTTCTTGAACACTTAGGATCTGTTTGAAATGATTATAGTATTTTATAAAATTAATTGAGAAGTTGTGAGAAAAGTAAATTTATAATACCAGCTTCAAAATCAAACGTTTATCACAAAAAAGTTTTAAAAATAATGAGAAAATATTAACAAAATTTATTTTTTTCAACAGCTTTAATTTTTTTTTTAAAGACAGTTTTACAAAGTAATATGAAAATTAAAAAAAAAAATTTCTATGGCAGTTTCTGCAACAACTTTTTTCCCATTTAATCTCACCCAAATCAAAATTATAATTTATGTCATTTTTTAAAAGTAAATTAGCAGGAGATACTTAGATAATTAAATATAAAAATAATTAAATTTGATTTACATGTTCTCAAATAAATTCTATAATTTTAAATGCATATAAATAAACTTAAATATATCCAAAATAAATAACCCATAATCACATGTCAAATAAATAAAAGATTAATAAGCTAAAGAAGGAAACAGCATTGACAGCCGGGATAGCCAAACGTAACAAAAATAAAAAAATAAAAACAGATTCCATTGCCGGGATTTGAACCCGGGTCGTCTGGGTGAAAGCCAGATATCCTAACCGGACTAGACGACAATGGATTTTGATATTTCAAATATACCAATATTTATTTAATATAATGTCTTAAACAAGTTCATAATAAAATATATAGCCTTAGAGAAATTTATTTTTGGTAATTTAACCATTACATGAATTATAATTTTTTTTCTTTATTTATTTGCAAAAATATTAATTTATATGTTGATTTTATTGGGATGAAATCTCATGACAAGTTAATTATTTTGAATTAACAGTGAGATTTTATTTGTTTATAACAATTTTCTCATTATCTTTTAAATTTTCATATCGCCTATGCCATCTTGGTCATCCACGCATTAAGCTTCTATTATGTCTAGAGAATCTTCCACTCTAAGACATGCATCATCTCTTGAGACTCAATTTTTTTATTTCTTGTGTTGATTGACACATTAATAAGCTATATTTCAATCTGATTAATTCTTTGAGCGAATGTAAATTCATAGTGTACATCACTATATAAATTGAATCATTTTAAATCTTTGTGTTCTTTTTTGTGATTGTATCATCATGCTCTTGATCTCTTCATCATACTATAATGATGCAAATGAATCGAATTTGAGTGAGGTCAAGCATTGTTCAATTCAACTGGTTAAGCAAATAAGTCAAAATTTTATATTCATAAACACTGAGTTGTTAGGAGAGTAGATGTATTAGATTCAACTTATGTTAAAAAAAGATAGAAGTAGACTAGGACTGTCAAAACCACGTCACGGGACGGGTTCATATTCAACTCGGAATTGATCTGACACAAGATGATCAGACCTAAACCTGAATCATTTTTCAAACGGGTCACTTTCTCGGACCTGAACCTAACCCACTTTGGAACCGGGTCAACCCGGCACGACCCACCAACCCGTCGGTGTCTTTAGGAGGGAGAGGCGATGGCGAAGCGTTAGAAGAAGGAAGAGGGAGAGCATGGCAGCGTTGGGAGCCAGAAGTCTTGATCGACGAGGAAAATAAGGTTGGGGTTTGGACTTTGAATCGAGCGCCGGCGGTGGGACGTGTTGAATCACGACTGCATAAGTTCAAGTTAAACCGCGAGTTCGCAACTGTGGGAGAGACGTCATAGGTTTTTGTTTACTGTTTATAGCAGGCTTTGGGTCACAAGTCATTTTCAGGTTTCCGAGTCAACTCAAATCCCACCCGGGTTTTGAAACGAATCGATTTGTTGAACCAAAACCTAAACCGTTTGACAAAAAGGTTGATCCTAACTCGAAAATGTCTTGTAAAATATTGACACCCATAAATTAGACTAATGGTCTATTTGAGTCGTTGTATTTTATAAAGTTTATTACAACAACAGAAAATAACTTCGCTGCTATAATAGCTTAAACCAACTTTTCATCATAAATTTTTTTGAAAAATATTAAAAAAATAACAAAAAAAACATTAGTTGAATAAAAATTGATTTTTGTCTGAATAAAATACCTAAAAAGCTATCACAAATATAATCTAAAAGAATTTTTTTTTAACATTTAGATTAATTAAGTCATATTCATTATTGATAGTCCTAGATCTCAATCATTAGATTAAGATGAGGTGTATATATTAAAAAAAATTTGATTTATTTTTTTAATTAGACTTGGGAATTCAGCGCACAGGCTGAGCCCGGTGACTCAGGCGCAAAACTAGTCTGAATGTTGGGCAAACATGCATTTGGAAGGAAGGAAGGAGACGGGTGGAAGGAAGCAATGAAGAGCTCCTTCCCTCTCCTCCTCTTGTTCTCCTTCATCTCTCTCTTCACTCTTCTCATCGTCCTCTCCAAAACCACGCCCTACCCTCTTTCTTTGTCCTCTTCATCTACCCCAAGCTCTAGCAACCAAATCCGCCCTCGCCTCAAAATCTATGTTGCCGACCTTCCCAGATCCCTCAACTACGGCCTTCTCGAACAGTACTGGTCCCTCTCAATGCCAGACTCCCGGATCAACGCCGACCCTGATGCAGAACTACGCGCTTCTCTCGTCGCCTCTCGCCGCAATGGCCCACTGCCCTATCCGGAGAACCCGCTGATCAAGCAGTACAGCGCGGAGTATTGGCTGCTCGGCGATCTCGAGACGCCGGCTAGATCGAGGGCGGTTTCATCAGTTGTCGAGCGGGTGTACGATTGGAGAAATGCTGATGTGGTATTCGTGCCTTTCTTCGCGACGCTGAGTGCGGAGATGGAGCTCGGGTGGGGGAGGAAGGGCGGATTTCTCAAGAAGGAAGGGAATGGGGATTATAAGAGGCAGAGGGATGTTGTCGATCGGATTAGGAGCTCTGATGCATGGAAAAGATCCGGTGGTCGGGATCACGTGTTCGTTCTCACAGGTATTTGTCTGTTTCATCTTGCTGGTTTAATTTGAGATGTTCCCTTTATTCAGAAATTTGGGGTTATTTAGCATAAATCTGTTAGCTTACTTCGGATGATTGAAGTTGATTCCCCCTGCTTATCATTTTGTCTCTGTCCTTGTTTTCTTTAACATATTTCTTGGTGTTTGATCAATTGATCTTGTATTTTTCCCTTTTTTTTCGGGTCTGACGATTTATTTATCAGCTTATCTATTAGCTTCTAGATTGCTAGATTATTTAAAAACTTGAAACATTCTTTGACAGACCCAGTGGCAATGTGGCATGTTAGAGCAGAGATTTCTCCAGCTGTGCTTCTAACTGTTGATTTTGGTGGCTGGTACAAGCTCGATGCGAAGAACTCACAGAGTAACACTTCGCATATGATACAGCACACCCAAGTGTCATTGCTCAAGGATGTAATTGTTCCTTACGCTCATCTCCTCCCGAGATTGCACTCCCTTGAAGATCAACCTCGTAGTATTCTTCTTTATTTTAAAGGGGCCAAGCACAGGCATCGGGTTGGTATTTTTTCTTTTATACTATGTTGGCATATCGTTCTTTTTAATACTTCAATAAATGAAGGATTACTTCAACTTGGAGACTTGGTGTTATTGTTCTCTTTTACATTAGGGCATGCCATTGTTTGCTCGCTGCATTTGCAATCATTTCTTTGTGTATGACAGATTTGAACACTTATGGTTACATCATCAATAAACAATGCCATATTTATTGGATATTAATACATATTTAACATTTTTGGCATGGCCTTCTACAATCAAGTGAATAGGAATTCTAGAAATATTAGACTAAGCCATGCTTGCATCACTAAACCTTGTTCTATAAAAGATTTTATCATGCTTTTTATTATACCAAGGATAAAGTGATGCATATGTATGGTAGGTTTAAGTATTGTGATCTTTTTAATAGAAGAATAGAGTTATGGATTTGAATATAAGTTTTAGAGTTAAGATTGCATGGTTAAAATAGACAAGTATTATGTGATAGGAGAATGTCATCAAGTTTAGAAGGTAAATATTAGAAAATTGTGATTGGGATTGTTATTTTTCATGGATCTGAAGTGTTGGATCATAAAAGTTATTGATAGAAAAGTTGGGTTTGTGCGCTAAAAAATATAATGGGTAAATAAGGAATGATTACGTTAATGGGATGGTTGAGTGGTATGCATTGAAAATATGGTTTATGACAATAGACTTGGATGCCATAACATGTACAACTGAGGGTAGAAAACACACTCATTTGATGGGTGGATAAAATTAGTGTAGAATAACATTGATGAAAAGAGATTGACCCAATAGAAGTTGTTAAAATTATGCGTGAATAACAGGTTTAGCACCTCATTCAACACTCATGTGAATAAACTATTTCTTTTTTGCATGTTATCATTGACTGTTGCTTGTTATGCTTAGATAAATTTCTATGCTATCTACTCCACGTTGTTGGTGAAATGCCGACAGCAAATAACATGTAAGGGCATCTCCAACCGAACGCCAAACGAGCGTTTGACGTCATTCCTTCGCTCCAGCCGAACGCCAAAAAATCCTCCATTTGCTTGCGGGTGAACTGGCGTTGCACTGTTCACCCACGCCATTTTTCTCTGTCAACCGGAAAAATGCGGGAAAGGAGAAGGGCCGTTACCTTGGCGCAGAAGCAAAAAAATGGCGTTGGATTGGAGCAGCACCACGCCATTTTTGCTTTTTGCGGTATTTTGGCGTGAAAAATAGAGTTCTCGGTTGGAGATGCCCTAATGAGATGATTCTTCATGCTTCTGATTTAATTGCTTTCCAATCGGTTGATTAGTTTCTGAAATGAAAAAAAAAACCTCTCTTTATTACTTTCCTCTCCAATGTATTAAATAGTTTCCCATGCGATGCATATATGTCTGACCCTTTTTTTTTTCCCAGGGTGGATTGGTTCGTGAGAAATTATGGGATGTTCTGCTTAATGAGCGTGATGTAGTTATGGAGGAAGGTTTTCCAAATGCCACAGGCCGGGAACAATCAATAAAAGGAATGCGGAGCTCAGAGTTCTGTTTACATCCAGCAGGAGACACGCCAACCTCTTGTCGTCTTTTCGATGCTATTTTAAGCCTCTGTATACCGGTTATTGTTAGTGACAATATTGAGCTCCCGTTTGAAGGAATGGTGGATTACTCTAATTTTGCAATTTTTGTTTCAGTTAATAATGCTTTGCAGCCTGGTTGGCTAGCTGGTTATTTAAGGAACTTTTCGAAATATCAAAAGGATGGTTTTCGAAGGAACATTTCTAGTGTGCAACATATCTTTGAGTATGATAATGGTAGTCCTGGTGGTATTGGACCCGTTTCTTCAGATGGTGCTGTTAACAATATATGGAGGAAGGTCTATCAGAAGCTGCCAATGATCAAAGAAGCAATAATACGTGAAAAGAGGAAACCTGATGGTGTATCAATTCCTCTTCGATGTCATTGTATGTAACTGATTTGCTTCTTGGAACCAGAAGACACTTTTTGAGTAGGTGCAAACTCCAAAGACAAGAGAAGTAAAAAAAAAAGTGCAGAAAATTTTATTCCCTTCCCATGATTACCGCAGTCTTGGGCTATTTAAAGCCTTTCATGAACAGGTTTAATCGGTTCAATTTCAGGTTTAGACCTGCTGGGGCATTACACGTTTAAAATTAATAAAATCAAGCTGATTCGACCTGGTTCAAGCTCTCTGTTTGATTAAAAACTGCAGGATCAGTTTAATGTTTTTGTGGACCGGCGGCTTTCTGAAATTCTGGACTGCAGGTTGCTATGTTCTGCTGAACCGGCAGTGAATGTGCTGCTGTCTGATTGATTTCGGCTGGCTGCTTTGCAGGTTGTCTAGTTATTTCTATTCAGTGCAATCTTGATATTGAAATGTGAAAATTATTGTTTCCTGCTATTTCTTAATGCACCTTTACATATTTAATAATTTTCTAAAGATTATGCAGATAATTGTTCAAAATTTGAATGGCAAAACGAGTTTCAGATTTAAGTATGAATGTTCTCAAGGTGCCACTAGTTTTGATATATTTTCTTTATATTTTGATTAATTTACAATTTATTAGCTTGTTTGTTTGCTTGGAGTTAGCAAATTTAGTAGAATGGTGAAGGTAATCCACCCAAGCTGATTGGTCGAGGAAGGTTCCTTAAAAATGTGTTATATCTATATTAAGATTTAAGATATTGAATTCATATTTTTTAAATACGATTTTTTTTCTTATATTTCCTTGCAAATGTCTCAACTTTTTCTTTACATATTCTATATTTTCTGTAATGGTTATGCAAATTCTTGTTCAGGACATCATAATCAAATTTTTTCATGCTTCACCTGTCCTTATGACAAAACTATCTACCGTGTCAATACTATCCGGTATGTGTCACAACAATTGTTATTGTTACTATGTGTACGAAGAAAATTATTAGGCATTTAATTTTTCTTTTCGGAGAATTTCTCTCTCACGCGTCTATTTCTTTGTTAATGATTTCAGAGTTGCCTAGTATATTTTATTTTCAGGTGAAGCACGATATACAATCTACAAAATTGACATTGGTTCAGGCAAACACATTGACTTCTATAGGTAATTTCTCATCAATGTTAGTTGGTGCTTAGTGCCTCAAATATTGGTCAAGCATATTGTCTTGGGTTTGTCTGATGGTTTTAATAACAGTGAAGGAATTGAGAGATAACATGAAAATAAATTAATTTAATATTTTATTTTTTTAAATGATTATACTAGATTATTTTAAGAAATATTTTTGAAGAATGTATCTGTATTTGTGGAGAGTGTTAAGCATTGAAGTATAAATTAGATGTAGATAAAATTTTATATCAAAACATTAACAACAAATTTTTTAATTTTTATCAATTAAACCACCTCACACACACAAAATATATTTTTCATGCTTTTTAATTTTCCAAAAAAAAAAAAAAAAAATGGTAAGCAATTCGATATGATACTATAATTAATATGTAATTTGGTGGCATCATACTACGCAGGAATTTTATGTATTGAAATTTGCTGATAACAACAAATATAAATTATTTATAGTTTGTTTGTACTTATATGATTAAATATTAGTAGTTCAAACTTCAAATCATGAAAGTTTTTAATCACAGTTAATGCGTTTTGCACTGTTAAATAAATTAATCCGTAGGTTGGAAGAAGCACTGAAGTTTCTACTTAATTTTAGTCCTTTCATATAGCCCTTCTTCTAAGTGTTGTATTATCTCTGTCTTAATAATGATTGGCTATTCATATGTTGATTTGAAGATAACTAATTAATAATGAGAAAAATATTTTATTTCAGGAAATAAGCATATACATGAAAAGGTTAAAGTAGCTCCAATAAAAGATAAGAGAGTCACCTTAGATAGTTTGGTCGGCCTTTCGATGACCCGGTTAGGAAAGTAGATGCATTAGATTTGACTTATGTTAAGAAAGGTAGATGTAGATCTAAAAAGACTTGGTTAGAAAATATTAGAGATGGCCTTTCTTTATTAAATTTAAATAAAAATTTGACTCTTAACAGGACAAAATGGAGAAAAAGGATTCATGTTGCCGACCCCATGTAGTGGATAAAGACTTGATGTAGTAGTTGTTTGTTGTTGTTGATATCCTTTGTTTAGTTTGGGAATGTTTTTGTATGTTTATTTTCTTAGGAAATGATCCCTTTAATCCTTCTTTATAACTTAGGGAGTCATTTGAGATTTTTTAGAGTGTGTAGTTGGGTAGGTCACGAGTGCTAAGGGGTTAACAGGGAGAGGAATGCATTTTTAGATTATGTTACCATGGATTCTTTTTGTTATTTAACCATTGCTTGTCACAAATCATGTTTTACCGTTACCTACATCATTGCTCCTGTAAAGTATGTTCATTTGCAATTGCTTCCCCTCACCACGCACACAATCTATATATATATATATATATATATATGTATATATATGATCAGCTTTCCAAGTTAACCTTTCTTTTTGGGTGGACTGCAAGGGGGGCATACACTTCAAGATAGGGAGTAGTAAACTGCAGCAATACCTGATGGAAATAGGAAGTGCTGTGAGTAGTGATAAATAATTTCGTATGTGCTGATTGAAAAATGGGCCAAGTTGAAACCTTGTAATAATGAGTTAGATCTCGAGAACTTTTTATCCAATGGATTCCGTTCTTATTGTAGTCGATATCAGAAGCATGTTTTATTGAAAATTTGAAATGACCATGGAAACGAAAGCTATGAATTAATACACATGAAATATATGCCCAATGAACACCATTTTTTAAAACCCTTACTTTTTTAAAGGTTTTCATGCTTTTTATTATACAAAAGGCAAAATGATACATATATGTGGTAGGTTTAAGTATTGTGAATCTATTTTATAGAAGAAAGGAATTCTAGATGAGAATATAAGTTTTAGAGTTAAGATGGTATAGTTAAAATGAAGAAGTATTATGTGACGAGGATGTCTTCGAGTTCAAAAGGTAAATATTATGAAAGTATGAATAGGATAGCTATATTGTATGAATAGGATAGCTATATTGTATGGGTCCAAGGTGTTGAGTCTTAAGAAGGCATTGATGGCAAAGTTGGGTCCAATATAAATATGAATGTTAAGATGGTTGCTAAAAATAAAAATGAGTAAATATGGAATGGGGGTACATTAATGGGATGGTTGAGTGGTATGTATTGAAATAAGGTAGTTCACAATAGACTTGGAGGACATGCATATGTACAATTGAGGGTAAAAAATGCACTTATTTAATGGGTGGATAAAATTAGTGTAGAATAAGTGGGGAGGAGAAGAGATTGGCCTAATGTATCATTTGATAGAAGTTGCTAAAATTATTTGAGAATAAAAGGTTTAGCCCTCTTAGCACCTCATTCAACACTCATATGAGAGAATAAAATTAAGGCTAATGATGATTATGACCCCTATTTCCTGGCATGTTATCGTTGACTGCTGTTTGTCAGGCTTAGGTATCTTTCTATGTTATCTGCTCCACGTTGTTGGAGAATTGCCAACAGTAATAACATGTGATGAAATGCTTCTTCATAATTCTGATTTAATAGCTTTCCAATCGCTTGATTAGTTTCTAAAAAGAAAAGAAATAAAAATGTAGCTTTCTTTAGGTAGTCGATAGTCAGTGTAGAACTTGTCGAATAATCACGACATGAATTCTTTTTCCGATGACCCAGTTAGGAAAGTTTTAGAAAGCACTTGTAGATCTCAAGTATTTCCTATCAATCTTCAGAAAACAGCGAGAATTCTTCACAAAAATCCGCACAAAACCACAAAAACAGTAGATATTTGTATTATTTGAAGAAAGGAAAATGGAAAATAGCAAGATACAATTGATCATCTATTCGAGAAGAGGATCAATCTCTCCCAAATCTCTAGACGCCGCTAGAGCCCAAAGAAAAACCTAAATCTAGGAGATCTCAAATTTCAACCAAATTCAAGATACCCTAACCCTAGGAAAACAAACTATTTAATGCTACAAATCAAAAGGAAATCCCTAAACAATCCCTACATTCAAATTTCCCTCCCAATTTCCTCAAAAAAACCTTCCAAAATGGTCCCCTAAGCTTTGGCGGCCCGATCGGCCTACGCAACAGGCAAATTCTTTGCCTATTCTCCGCCTGAGCCGGTCCCATGTGGACCGGCTGGATCGGCCCAATGGACCGGTCTAACAGAAAGTTGAGGTATTAGATTTGTCTTATGTTAAGAAAGGTAGAGATAAACCTAAAAAGACTTGGTTATAAAATATTAGAAATGATATTTCTTTCTTAGATTTAAATGAGAATTTGACTTTTAACAGGGCACAATGGCGAAAAAGGATTTATATAGCCGACCCTACGTAGTGGGACAAAGGCTTGATGTTGTTGTTGTCGTCTTTATTACTCCACTCACCAATGTATTTAATATTTTCCCATGCGATGCATTTATCTTTGACATGTTTTTCCCAGGGTAGATTGTTTCGTGAAAAATTATGGGATGTTCTGCTAAATGAGCATGATCTTGTTGTGGAGGAATGCTTTCCAAATTACAGACAGGGAACAATTCATTAACGAAATACAGAGTTCAGAGTTCTGTTTACATCCAGCGGGAGACATGCCACCCTCTTATTGCCTTTTCTATGCTGTTTTAAGCATATGTATACCTGTTATTGCCAGGAGAAATTATTTTGTGCAGACATCGGACGGGAGAACCGTCTGGTTTAAGCTTAGGTACCGAGGCTCGGTACCTAGCTCGGTACCGGACATGACACATTTTCATTGGAGTCTGAACTCCGTACAGAATAATTTTTCCATTGCCAGTGAAAATATTAAGCTCCCCTTTGAAGGAATGGTGGATTACACCGATTTCGCAAATTTTGTCTCAGTTTACAATGCTTTGCACCTGGTTGGCTGGCTGGTTATTTAAGGAACTTTACCAACTATCAGAAGAATCAGTTTCGAAGCAAAATGCCTAGTGTTCAACATATGTTTTCAGTATGATAGTCGTAATCCTGGTGGTGTTGGAGCTTTTTCTTCAGATGGTGCTGTTAACAATAAAGTCAGGAAGGCCAATCAGAAGCTGCCTATGATCAAAGTAGCAATAACACGTGAAAAGAGGAAACCTGAAGGTATGTCTACTCTTTTCCGATGTCATTGCATGCAACCCAACTTATTTCTATTCAGTGCAATATTGATATAGTACTGAGAAATTTATTGGTTTCCTGTTCTTTCCTAATGGACCTTTACATATTTAACAATTCTCCAAAGATTATGCTGATAATTGTTCAAATATTTAAATTGGAAAACAAATATATCTCATATTTTTAGTATGGATGTCGTCAAGGTGCTTCTACTTTCGATATATTCTTTATACTTGATCATTTACAATATATTAGCTTGTTTGTTTTCTTAAAATTTGCAATATCAGAAGATTGTTGAAGGTAATCCAGACAAGCTGATTAATCAAAGAAGGTATTTGCGTTAAAAATGTATTATATATATATA